ATTTGCTGTTTCCCATCAGCGTTGGACGGCCTCAACCACAGTCTAGATTACTATCCTCCTCGCCCTCCAACATGCTCCAGCTGTTTACATAGTTCGCCTTTAGACCGTCGTATACCGTATACCGTCATTGTATTCCCTCGTTCGTAACTCAGTTTCTGCAGCGAGAGGACGCAGCTGATGACCACTCGCAAAATTTATGGTTTCAAAAAATTCTGCTGTATACGCAATCTTCAAATTAAGTAGGTGTTTAAGTTTTTGAAAAACAGACTACACGTGTCCTCCACAAACCTGATCCGTTACATGACAACAAACGCGGTTATGGAAAGTTATCATTAATCCCAAGTACATGAAAATGACACACTTGCGGAAAAGGCGCTTTTGCAGCTCAACTTTGCCAGCTTAGTTTGGCAACTTTCCACGAAAAAACTTTTAGGTACCTTTTTATTATAAAAAAACACGTTTTTGTGTTTTTCGGAGGGGAAAAAAAAGCCTTGATCCCAAATTAGTTTACCCTTAAAGTCTTATCAAGAGACTGACCAATAGGAACAAAGCTAACGCGTGGTTAACAGTAAACGCAGGGGTTTTTGGCTGCGTACAGACGCCCGCCATTGCGTGACATACGCGTATATCGCCGTCGTATGGACCCAGCGCTGCAAAAGCCAGTGTGACTTGGCTTTTTTTTCCACCGCAAACGGGCAACGCGGCGCATCCGGCGTTTCACCACAAAATGTGACATTTTGTTCCGTTATCCAAATTCAGGGTCACACCGCCTAGTATGTAACAGTAGCCGGTGCTTCACCTGATTCTCCTTGGAACATGTCAACACAAATGCCCGGGTAAGGACTTCTAGTCTATGAAAATAACCATCGTGCGTATGTTAGAGCAAATGCGGAGCTTCCTTAGTTTCGAAATGCATGTACACAGTAAACAAACAATGGTTTGATATTAGATGAGCAGTTGCCGAGCAGAAAGTAAGCTTTTGATAAGTTCTCATTACATTTATATGGGAACGCGATACCAGTTGACAAAAGGGTCAAATTTCTTCTTCCTTTCATAGCAGTGAAGCGTGGGAATAGAGGAGGGGGTTTGGTGGAGGGTCGATAAGAGGCGGTAGGTTATGTGGCAGTTAGGATTTTATATTACTTAATTTTGCATAATCGATAAATCGTTTACATGCTTGGGGGGAGTCCCCTTGGTTAAAAGGTAGCCCAAAGTTGCTGATGATTTGGAATAAAATGCAAAACTCGACAATCGTCAGCTTTTTATAATTTTTCGTCACGAAAATCTTGTGCAAAGGTTACATTGCTTTTACGTTTTATGCAGTGATATTTCAAAATCAACACTTAAAATATTCTACCCTTTAAATATTTTAGTCTTATAAACCAACTGCCCTAGGGTTGATTATATAGAAGACGCAAAAGAGAGTAACAATTTTTAATAATTATAATTCCTTAAAGTTTAAATACACACCATGAATAAGTTGATATATAGCATTTTTATTCGCGTCCTAAAAATCTTTTGTATGATTATAGACTGTAGAAAGTATAGCAAACTAGGATAATTTACGGGTTAAGCATTCAGTTCTACCGAGAATAGTGCCTTTAGAATATGATCCGGTGTACAAAATTATATCAGATTAGACTGCTTTTGCAAAATGATAAAACGACCACGATTAATTGTATGATACCCCTCTTACAAACACAGCCGACAGCTAGGCGTGTTATACGGAAATTGTGGCTGTGGGGACATGGTAATTCAAAGGTCGGAACAGAGCGGTGACCTGTTGACAATGAAAATAACCTTATACGCACATTGCTGTCGTTCAGGGGAGTTGTCTTTAGCGCTGAATTAGACGGTATTACAGGTCTATGTATTGTGGTTGCTAGAGCTAGGATTTGATGTCACCCAAACCTCGGTTTCCGACAAGAAACATGTTTTCAATAGAAAGCGTCACCACCAAAGGCTAACTGTACATTATTACGGCCTTAAAGCAACAGAATTTTGGAAAAGCCTATTAAGATACGATTTTTGACAAAGTAAGCTCATGTGGCAGAGAATAATAGGAGCTTACCGTTATCCGTTTATTGTGTTCAAGAGCAAAGAGGTAGCTTAATCCGTTACTAAAATCCTACGGCTGTGACCTAAATAGGCTGCAATACAACGTCTGCAATCCGCGTTACTATTTAGCACAGTCAGTTTGTTTTTGGTAATGAAAAGCTTGCTAATAAGCCAGAAATGGCAATCCCAGTTTGCGTTTTCTTTGGCAGTAATATTATCTGCCCACTAATATCAACCGCTACGGCTGACAGGGCCTCTGTCGAGGCCCAAGGCAGAGCGGGACAGATGATTTCCGTTAGCGGTCAGGTAAGCGTTCGTCAACGAGTGTAAATGACAGTCCCGTTAAATGCCCAAGATAATTAATTTCGCATTTTGGTCGTAATCGCAATCTATTATGTACAATGACGAAACGCCGGGATATAGGAAGCGAATAGAAAGTAAAAGTAGATGCGATCGCTGAAAAGAATGAGGTTTATTTGCCTACCGTTTCGGATTCTGCCTTAAAATATTCATCAGTGATAACCGCAGAATGTGGGGATGTATGGGCAGTTTAGCATCTGCAGATTGTGCGTTTTTAAACCTTATCTAGTTTGAACTAACTCGATATATTACACTAGTGCAAAATAAGCTATTTTAAACGAGCCTAATTGTTTGCCCAAGTAAACGACTACGATGTACAAAGTTCAGAGACATGTGACCCGTTTTGTTACTATTACGTATCACTTCAACTTGAGAACATTTCATCCACCTGACTGAACTGCGTACTAGACGACCACTTGACGGTAGGTTTTGTTGCGAAGCTAAAATTATTGACGGCAATAGCCGGATCCCGTCTGATGTGATTACGTTAAACTTTGCAACTTTTTGCCAGATTGCCGCTGGTTTACGGTCTACCAGGAAGTCACCGAAATTTCACATGCGTAAGATTATACAACTGGCTAGTTTTAAACCCAGTAACACACACTTGATGTACCGTGAAATAGAAGAATTTCTAGGCGAAAAATCTCAAACTTAGCTTCCTCTGAAAAAAAACTAATTAAAAATTAAATATCTTCGCATTCATCATGGTAAAAAGGGCGTTAACCTGTTAGGTCTCGGGACATGTGGTGAGCGGCTTGTAAAGCGTGCATTCCAAGATAATATTATGAAAAAAGATAGGCTCGTCGGCAACATCGGTGTGTACTCGTATATACATAGTTCAATTACCAGAACACTATACAACCACATTGATTCTTACCGGCCGCGAGTTGAAATATTGATCGGTAGTAACGAAATGTGTGGAATTGCATGCTAATGAGGTTAAGGGTTGGAGACTAAAACCATTGCATCGCAAAAAAAAACGAAATATGCGGCAGAATAGCGTGTTATACCTTAACGAAAAAGACACGGTTAAGCCGCCTCCTTAGTCTACCCAACCAGTCAACCGCATAAATGGTTATCTGGCGCGGCGCTTAACAATACTCAGCAATAATCAACGCATTCCAGGGAACGTTTTTATCGCTTCCTTCTTTGTGCCGAATAGTTGCTACTAAAAGCTTTTTATTGTTCAATTCAATGAGAATTCAATGAAGCAGGAGCTTGAGTTTGGAGGTTAGATATAGAAGAGGTTAAAACAAAGGAAACGTTGGTCGCAATTGCCAAAATGCCGTCGATTTTGGACGATGTCCACCCTATGGTCCACAAAAGGGTATTGTAGGAAGGGATACTAGGCGCTGGATTATCGAGAGAGCAGCCTTGCGCAGCATCTTCCTCACTCTCTCCTTTCTCCGGACACGTTAAGTAGGAGCCATTACAACCTAACTCCCAATTCGCCAGTCAGAAACACGCTGGGCTGAATACGGTGTCCGACTTATCCCATCAGTTGGCAACCCTCAATGCAACGTTATTTAGCGGACTGTAATAGCTTGCAGTAGGTCAGATTTTTTATAGTGAGTCGTCGAATTCACTCCCTCCCCCACTGCGTAGCCGATCGGTTTCTCGATAAGGTAGGCCAATATTACTGATAAGCGCTCAGCATATCCTAAGGCCGGTGCATACACCACGTCATATTTATACGCGGAAAATTTATCACCTGAGTATTTCCACTTACTTTTAAATGTAAATTTCATGAAAGAGTGGCACAGTATAGGGATTCTTGACAGTCGTTTTATAAGACATTATGTTTTCGGCAAGAATATTATTTTGTGATTAAAACTTTCTTTTATTTTTATATATTTAAAGCGAGGTGAGCGCTGCTTCTGTTTTTTCCGATTTTTAACACCCGACATTCCAGCATTCGCAAAACAACGCGACCTGCAATATTAGCTGAATAAATAAACTGGAAGTCTATTTGACTCGGAATCTTTGATAACTTGACACGGGCATAGAAACGCACTCACAGCTAGTGTTAACCCCAACCTTCGCCATAACTTGTCGCGGGGGCTGTAAAAATAGATGAATAAAACCATGTAGACTTTGACCAAATTGTGAAAACCTCGGTGCCCTCGGTGGGATTCGAACCCACGCCAACAATGGGAAGGTTCTGGGTCCGTCAGCATTCTAGCCAACTTAGCTATCAATGCCCCAGTAGGTGACGTGCGTTCAATCCCACTTCGGTCAATTTACCCATCTAGCCTCTTCTACCAAATCAGAGAAGCACGCATATTTATACTACAATAAGTTTGTTTGATGGCGACTGAAATCGAGAAAAGACATAAACCGACTTTATACTTACAGTTTAAATTATTTCAGGGAACGCTCTCTCTCTCTGAACGTCAGTTTCTATTCTCTACCTTCACTTTGGTTACTTCAGATGTCTTATGTCAGATGACTCCTTGACACCATATTGAAAGTTGCACACCCAGTTAGAAGGGCGACAATTCCTTTAGTCGAAACTCATTAAAGTCCGCAGACAGTAAGTTCGGTTCGGTTTGATTAAGGGGAAAAATTTGATTTTATTACCGGAGAAGAAGGATTAGTAGATTATCACCAGCATTCAGAGCAAAAGTACGTGGCATAAGACCAGTTGTTGTTTCTCGTCACCAAGTCAAAGTTGTCGAAAAATATGCTGATCGCATTCTCGATGAGGTTGCTCATCCACTTCACTCTGTGAAGTTGTCCCCTACTATGTGCCGAAGTTTCCGACATGTGTCCTGCCGTGTATTGGCATAGCAGCACTCCTTGCTCCCATTCCTAACAGGCCACCTCACATGTAACAAAACGGAAATCCAGAAGTTGAGATAAGTCCTGTCTCTCCATAATAAATGGGTAGTTTATGTAAACCCTTAGATTTCTGCGTGTTTTATTAACTTATCCTTTTGTTTCAGTGAATAGAACCATTCAAATCAAGATTAAATGAAATAATAAACACAGCAAAACTTACGACTCCCTCCAGGTTTCGCAGATGACGAATTGCCATTATCGACTGCAGGTACTCTACAATGAGACGCTATCAGAGCTCCGTTTGGGACGAAGACTGTACCTACCTTTCTCTCCTCAATATTGCTCTCGTTCACGGCAAAGTTGGGTCGTTTGGGAAAGGCGGACACTTTGCGTCGTCGCAGCTCCGTCGGCACAGATACGGACTGGGTTCTGCCACTTTTGTAATGCCTAGTTTTGTGACTTAGTAAGAGCCCGCAGGGGGTAGTGGACTTACGTTGCCTTCTTGACACGGCGCTTCACCTGCTCCAGTACAATATCCCTCTGCAGGCTAATTAGGTCAGCCTGTTTGCGCAGAATCTTCCACTCAAAGGGGCCGTGTTGAATGCTGAGTTCGTACCTGGCGGGGGGATGCAAATTATCGCTTCTGCTGCACTTCGCTTACCTGCTGGGCACACCGTGTGCGGGTCCGTCCTCTGATGTACTTTCTGATCGGCTCAGTGGTCTGGACCCACTGTTGCGTGGCCTGTCATGACCGAAGTGGAACCGGCGTGTCCAGATGACTTGAGTAATCTCAATTTTAAAAGGCTCGTTCGGTAGGTAGATGTTGCCAGAGTTGAAGGTGTCTCCAGTCGTGGGGAAGTAGATTTCGCCGTCTACAATGTGGGGATGTAAAATGGAGCCGGCTTGCTCGACTTACCGTCCGCGATCTCAGTCGTATCGTCCTCGTCCGAGGAGAACTCATCGAAGGCCGCGTTAAAAAAACCATCCATTGTGGACTAGGTTGAAATATATAATACATTAATTTTATACATATAATAATATGAAACTGGGGTGTTCATCCCATCTATCTGGTTTGTCCCGCAAGTGCGTTGCGGCTCGTACTTGAGTGATATTAGGCTGTCGCTTAGCGAACTCAGACATATGGTGGTATGGATTCGACAAAGACAGGGGATAGCGGAATTGCCAGTTCCGGCTTCTGACTGGCTGATGACGGCTAACAAGCCAGAAGTGGCCATTCCGGTGTCCCTTGTCTTTGTCGGATCCACTCTATAATATATATATGTATATCTGAATGTATGTGTTTGGCCGATTTCTAGTAGAGGAAAAATTAAGTTCCGGTTTGCCCTGGAGCTCGCGTCATCTCATATTAGTCCATATGTGACGGTCTGGAGGGTTTGCGTTGCGAGCTCCTGGGCTAAGCGGAACTGAATTGTTCCTTTACAAGATCGAAGAAACACATACATTCATCATATTCTCGATTACAACCGACAAAGCAAGGAACCCGTAGACTGGAGGTCTCCTTTGTTTTTTCGGATCCACTACATAATAACATATGTATATTAACATACGTGAAAATGCAGTGTACAGATAAATGCTTACGTTCATCAATCCCCTTCCAAAAACAACAAAAAACAAAGAAAAGCACTCTCATGGACCATAGTGTATTGACGCTAACGTTTCGGACTCATCCTCGTTTCCATCATCATATTGATGAATTTCTTGTCCCTGCTTCCCGGGAGTTGCTTTGTCTCGCCGTCTGTTTTGTAATACACACGTGTTATGACTGGTGACGCTTTTGTGTGTCCGCTGTCGCGTGCATGGCTGTTGTTGTCGCCGTAGGGTGTGCATTGGGGCGGCTGCTGTAGGAGCTCCCCTCATCACCGGGTTGGCGGATAAAATACGTCTCGGCAAGCCGGAATAAGTAACTCACCACCCGGACTATGGAAACGAGAGTATGCTCGAAACGTCAGCCGCAATACACTGTGGTCAATGAAAGCGATGATGATTATAAAGGACACGTGTAGATGGTAGGAAAAGGTAAGGCGATCTCCGAGGGAGAATGTTCATTCATCTGAGCTTTCGCACTCACGCTTGAGCACATAATCTGAGATCGACATTTGGGCCAAGACGTGAGTAAAAAATAGGGGATTTCTGCTCGCTTCCGGTTGGTTGGTCTTCCTCTCGTCTCACTGGATCCCCTCTCGTGCGTAAGTACAACCTTGCGACATCGTAGGGCCCGGGAAGGTCTAAACGGCGATTATTTAAGTTGGTGTCCGTTTTCTAGGTCCCGATGACTGCCCTTGCCCGTTTGCTGTCGACTCGGCCTATCACTTAAGCACCATCGAACTCGAAGCGATGGTCGTTTTCTAGACTGTTCATGGCGATGTGCGAGGGTACATCATTTTTCTTTACTGTTAATGTATACTCGTAAACAAATGTATGTACCAAAGACACATGAAGAACGTGGAGGAGTTAAAACAATGACCCGAAACCTTCCGTGTCTTACACTAAGTGAACAACTTCTTCCAGGTCTTTGAGCGCGTGACACTGGCTAGAAGCTACTCTCCGTCGCTTAGTTATGCAAACCAAATGCTGACTAGCACCGGCA